CATACTTAGGACTCTGAAGTGTTGTAGAAAAAGAAAATATATACATTTATATGTATATTTGCGACGTAATTACAAAATATTTACACCCGAAAGCGTCAAATCCCATAGAACTCAATGGTAAATGACCCAATGTTTTGGTCACCACGTAGGGATCGCCAGTGCTTCAGAGCAGGGTACGGAGAAACCTTGTTTAGGGCGACTCCTTCTTACTTCCGCCCACCAGCGGCCGAGCGGTAAAGTCGCTGAACACTGGTAGTTCGGTCCGAGGTTCGAATCCCGCGAACGGGCTGGCTGCATGGGTGTTTTCGTGGTTTTCCCCATGTGTAACGTGTATACGAGCCAGTTTCCCTTAGAAAGTCCTCCACGAAAGGCATCCCTCCCCTTTGGCAGATAGCCCTAGTGTGCTTTGCCGTAATTAAATACACCACACCACCTTCTTACTTCCTACCTCCATGTTCTCAGCCAAAGAATTAAATTCTTTGTTCTCAGCACACTTCTCCCCTCCCCCGTTGTAAAGAAATGACACTTATTGTCGAAGTTTGTGCCAGTTTTTTAAATGATACTTCCCCCCTTTTTACTTCCTTGTTCGAATAAAAAGGAAGTATTGTATTGTAATCGCGAAAAGTTTCAGGCAGCATATTTCAAGGAAAATATCCATTTTGACCGCTTTGGAATGCAATTTTAACGATGTTTTTGCGTGATATCTGTACGTAAGGACAGAATAAAAGACTCTTTTCCTCCAAAAAAATTAGAAAACTGCTTTAAAATTAATTCTGAAGAGAATTTTTCGTGGTGTCTGTACGAACGTATGTAAGTACGTATCTCGCATAACTCAAAAACGAGTAGCCTCAGAACGTTGAAATTTTGTTTAAAGGACTGCTATAACATGTAGATGTGCACCTCGTATTTTGGTTGCAATCGGCCGCACCAAACGTATATAAATATATTTATATATATATCCACTCTGTTACCCGGCTCAGTGATCTCAGTTTCTTTACTCTTATGTGTTTGTAAATTGTACATTTTTTGCTTTAAAAATGATTGAATTATGTTGTTTTAATCTTCCGATTAAGGTTTTTATGCTTTTAGTAAATTTGTATGCAATATTTTTTAGAATTATCAACAATTTTAAAGTTGTTTAAGTGCCGCTAAGCCTTTTTTTAATGGCGGCCGTTGATTGTTTACATTTGAAACAGCAGACTAGTGGATTTGTTGCCAATCTAGAGCAACTTTGCTTCGCAACAACAATGATAACGCCTTCATTTATTATTGCCAATTAAATCATGCTTAATCCTTTCTGGAATTTTTTTGAGGAAATAAGTGTTTAAGATTTACTTCGTAATTTTTAATATAGATATTTTGAGTTTTTATGTATCTTTGCCTTGTCGCGAAGTGAGAACTGAATTAATTGAATGAAAAATACTCAATCGTCTGTGAAAAACTGTTTCTTTTTTGTTTTGTTTGCTTAATTTCTTTTATACATCGTTCTAGTTTTATTATAGTATTTGAATAGAACATGTGGCAACGATTAGATAATTCTTTAAATGATATAAATTTCGTGCATTCTGAGTTATAATATGAAATTGTTTAAATGATATAAATTTTGTGCATTATGAGTTATAATACGAGGCTTGGTTATAGTCGAGTTTAAAAATGGTAATAAAGATGTGTCTGTTCTAACAGTTATAATATGAGATTCTGAGTTATAATATGACTTTTTGTGCATTCTGATTTATAATATGAAGGATGAGATGTGAGTTTCTCTCTTGCGACGACGTCTGTTCTTGATTTTTTGGTAAATATTATATTTTTGCTTGTTCTCCTCGATATGGCCAGTAATAGCGAACCACCAAATAGAGGCAAAATTCCTTCGCATGCTACTTTCAGCGATTATGATAGCGATAATGATTCTACTTATTCGAATTATTCAAGAAAATTGTCTACATCCAAAGAGATGCCTGTAATTGCTTCAGATGACCCGGCGCTTCAAAGTATACTAATTTCTACTAAGAAAAGTAAATGCCAGAGAAAAGAAAAGAAAACCGCAGGAACTCCTAAGAAAATAGCCGATAATACTAAGAAATTCAAACCCTCCCCTTCAAATTTTGAAGCAGTAGTTAACAAACACAGAAAAGTTTTTCCTAATTTAACAGAAGCTATCTCGCAAGAATATTTTAATACTCAGCTTCCGATTAATCCAAAAGATCTCTCATTCAAATTAGAAAACGAAATCGCCGATAAATTATTGAACTGTATTGAGTCTATGAAGACATTAACTTCCCCACCAGCGATAGAAATGCGTTCAAAGTTACAAGAAGAAATTCAACAAAATCAGTTCATTTTAGCAAGCATTCAGAACACCCCGAAGCTCGCAAATTCTAAAACAGATGATAAAACAATAAATCAGAAGGATTGGCAAACTCCAAAGAAAACCGCGAAAAATTCAGAGTCTATCCCACCAGCAGCTATTCCTCAAAATAACAGATTTGAAACTCTTAACGAAAATAACGAAGATATGGAAGTTACAGATGAAACGCAGATGACTACAACACAGAATAAAGCAGAAAATAAAACGAAAATTTCTCCATTAGTCATTCCAGAAAACGATGTTGATTGGCCCGAAATTGACAAAATGCTCAGAGAGATTTGTAAAAACGAATTTGAAGTTACAATCAAAGCCAGACAGATTTTTCTTTACACTACCACCGAAGCCGATTATAAAGCTACAGTTGATAAATTCAAGAAAGCACAGATTAGTTTTCATACGTAAAAAATTTCCTCAGCCTCTTCAATTAAAGTTATACTTAAGAATATCCCAAGATCCTACACAGAGCAAGCAATTCACGCAGACTTAGAACGCAGAAACTTCCCTATAATTAAAGTAAAGCAATTCACGAAGAAAGCAGAAGACCAAATTATCCATTTACCTATATTTTTCCTTGAACTAAAAAGAAATTCTGCAGGAGAGAAAATTCATCAATTAAACAATACGTTCGGATTCAATATCACAATAGAAAAATATCAGCCCAGAAAACGCCCAGTTCGATGTTTCAATTGCCAGGAGTTCGGGCACTCCCAAAATAACTGCTTTAAAAAGGTCAGGACTGTAAGTGCGGACAAAATCACAGATCCAATACCTGTAAATTAAAACCAGATGAAAAACCAACTTGCATTTATTGTCACGGAAATCACGTTTCTTCTTATCGTGGTTGTAAGGTATACAGAAAAAGATTCAATCATTTAGAGAAGATAGAAAAACCACAAAAAATTCCCACTAAAGATGTCTTCCCCGAATTTATTCAAGCTTCAGGCCAAACTAATCAAGAAATGCCTAAAAACCTTTACAGTGACAAAGTTAAGCAGAAAAACCCGCAGGAAAATTTAGCAGAAATCATTAACATTTTCAAAGATCAGAAAACCCTTTTTCTCATGAAATCAATAACCACAATAGTTCAGAGAATTAAATCAGCTAAATCAAATATGCAGAAACTTTGCCTAGCTTTTCAAGCCATTGAGATGATTCTGAACTTTGCAGATAAAGATTAATTCGCAGCTTCTCTCAAGACAAGCATAGCCGAGCGGCAGAAATTCTCAAGTTGCAGATCCTTACATCGTGGGGCCATGTTTACTTCTCTTCTAGAGCCTCCTCACTAGGTGCAAAAAGTACGTTCCATCTTACTGGATTCAACTCATCATTAAAGACACCCTACTTATAATATATTGGTAAAGGCCGCACTAGGCCGATTGCCTCTTAATTGTGTTATGACATAGACATAGACATAGACATAGTTATAATATGAATGAAATATAATACTGTTAAGTGAACCTAGAGCTAGAGTGTCGCTATGGTAAAGAATAGAGGGAATTTTAAAGAATTCATTTACTCTATTTTGGTTTATGCGCTGTCGGCGAAGTAGATTTAATTCAGTCCAATAAGTTTAAACGAAATGCAATAAAAAATGCGTATAATTTAATATTCCGTACAAGGAAGTTATGTCGTATGCACATCAGATTTTTTTATATATATTTTTGCGTTTACAATTCATTTCATTTCATTAATCTCAAGAGCAAAAGCTTTGAATATGAATAAAGGTTCCTTTCAGTTTTAAAGAATGCTGAAAATATGGAGAAAGTTGGTTCTTTGGTAAAAGTTGATAAATGTGTAACAACTAAGTAACTTTCAGACATGCCTGGGATAGATAAAGAAAGCAATAGGTTAATTTTAATTGAAAACCTGAAAATGAGAAAAGTTTGTGCTCGATTTGTACCTCAAATTTTGACAAAAGAAAAAAAAAAAGGTTTAAAGAAAGAAAAGAAAAAGCACAGCTATCGAAATCAAACACTAAGGAAATGCTAACTGCATTTTTTCATTACGAAGAATTATTCACCGTGAATTTATTCCTGAAATTCAATCAATTAATTAGTATTTTTACAAGGAGGTGCTTTGCTTTTCGATTAAGAAACAGGATAAGGCAAGTTAGGAAAGAACCTTCTGATGCTGGGCAATGGTTTCTTTTACACGCTAATGCTTGGTCCCATGCTTTTACGCGATAATACTAGGAAAACATGGACGATAATACTAGGACACTGTCCGTACAACAATATCTTGTTAAGCAATTACCTGCAGTAATAAATCAATCATCACATTCTTCCGACTCCATACATCCATACTTTTCTGGAATTCAAACCATGATCCCATGATTATGGCAGTCGGTCCTACTACCCCATAATAACAGGAAGCTAACCTGAGTACCAGTCAGTTCCAAAGTGCATTTCTGATTCATTGTTTTGAAGAAATTTTCATTCTAGAGCTACACTGCTCTGTTAAATCATATCTAAATTAATTTCCAATGTTGCAATGGTTTGTTTCATTATCATTATTCATCTTTTAATGCCTATATGTGGGTTTTCCCTGAATTTTAATTTTTATCGATTTACGGCTAACTATTTGAATCATAAACATTGATTGCATCTTCCAACTGATTGCACGAAACTGAGATAAAGCACTTCATTACTCTGATAAAACGAAATACAAATTTTATTTTAAGCGATCGGCTGTAAAGTGATACAACACGCGCATTTGAAAAGAAAATTTCGGAAAAATGGAAGGTAAGTGCGTTTTAAATTATAAATGCGTTTCCCCAAACTCCCAAAAGAACGTTAGCTCAGAAGGACTATTAATTTCGTTTTGGCATTTTGCGCAGGTTCACTATAAACTGCGAATCCCTTTTGAAATTGTTTCCACCAAATATTAGAGCCCTGCATTATATTTAACGAAATTAAATAATGAAGAATCTGCATAAATGTATGTATGTTTCTTGCATTGCAATAAAATAACGGTACCTAGAGCCATCCAATTTTGAATAATGTACGCCTCCCCCCGAATATGGACATCTGGAAGCCAAGTATTTGGAATTTGTTTTATTATCGATTTCATATTTCGTAAAACTTTAAGGAACAAGCGAGCAAATGCAACAATCTATGGCGGAGGGGGGGAGGAATTATCTTCAGTGCGCGGAACTGTGTATCGGATAGGCTCATTTTAAAATTATTTTGCGACGTTGCTACTGAACTGAAATTAATGGTTAAAGTGTGAAGAACATGATATTTAATAAATAAAGGTAACGCACAAAACGTTAAAAAACGCATCTTGGGGCGTAGTATAAAATCCGAAAGCTTTCAGATTTTTTTTTTATCTAAATAATTTTATTAATAATACGTCTAGCATTTAAAAGAAAATCTGTTGTTCAGCTTTGTGTCAGCTTTCAGATGTTAAACTTAAATTTCAAGAGTAAGATTGTAAATTATTATTATTATTAAATATTTTCGGAATGATGCTCCAGTCAGCAAAAAGGTGTATTTCTTTTTTAGTTTTTATTGTCATTTAAGTAACTAGTAGAAAATCATCAAAGAAGAATGCAGAAGAAAATTGAAAATGGTTTAATTATACTCAAAGCTATTGCTATAAATATACTCAAACAAGAATGTAAATCAACTTGATAAGACGCTAACACAATGCAAATTCATAAATTTTGAGCTGCATAGGCCTTCGAAGATTTTCAGGCGTTAAATCAAAACAAAAGCTTAAAACAAAAGTTATTTTAAACGCAGCAGAAGAGTTGCGTTGAATATTTTCAGCCCAAATGCAAAGTAATGCATATTTTTGACACAATTTTAATTCTCTTCTCGCTTATTCTCCGAGAAAGTATTAAAAGTGCAAAATTACAGACTCATGTTTTCATATAACATGAACTCACTGTAGATGCATTCTTCTCCTAATTCTGATCCTGCACGAATATTAATCCAACGAACAGCAGAACTGCATGTATTCGGATTAGCTAGGATCGCAGTCCACAGTATGTAAGATAGCGGATTTATTTTTTTTTCTATTCATCTCACTTTCATTCAACAAAGGTAATACCACCGGCATCTCAACCTTTTTTGGCCCATGCACCCCTTTCACACTGCTAGGAATTCATCCCCTTCTCTGTTTCGTAAAGTTAAAAAAAATACATATACATTTATTTAGGTTATTTTTTAATGTGTTTTATTAGGTATTTCTCTCGCCTTCTTAGCATGCCTTCATCGTGTAGTGGTCAGCACACTTGGCGCGTATTCGAGAGGTTCTTGCATGGAGTCCCGGCAAGGGCATTGCACATTTTTCATTTATCCTGCTTTTAAAAAATTCCTAATTTCTCTACAGTGGCGCCCGAACTAAAAATGATGGCGGATGATGATTCTACAGCAGCATGATTTGGCGACTGGGTCCCCTAATCCCCAGTCGCCCTTTAAAAGCAGATGTATATAAGGTGAGTGAGTGAGTGCACCGCTATGATGGCTTCCGACCACGGACATGAACCAAACGGAGTTATATACCATCAAGGCGGGGAAGTCTCCAAAGTAACAAGGTTGAATGTTACATATTAATAACAGTTTTTACAGTTTGATAACGCAGGCTCTAAGCGTTATTCTAGCTATCTGCTTTAAGTTCTGAACATTTGAAACATAATATTATTCACTGTTGTTTTTGCTTAGGCAGTTTCTTGAGATTTTCTATATTCAAGATCAAGGGCTACTCTGTTTTTGAGTGTGTTAGACATCCACGTTGCCCAGGCACAGTCCACTGGTTTCTTTAAGTGCCAGGTTCTTGTATGTTCACAATGGAAGTAATAATGGTCCGTGTCGCCTTCCTCTCCGCTTTCGCAGAAAGGAATATCCCTAAGTCTGAATCTGTTCAGGTATACTGGGAATGGTCCATGACCTGTCAAGAACTGTATTAGGCTAGCACAGTGGTGTTTGTTTCCATGTTAACTTTTGGCAGTAAGCGAAATGTTCTTTGTCGTACCTCTACCTCTGTCCATCTACTTTGCAATTTTGTAGCAGACTTGTCAAAGTTGTTCGCTTCTCACCTTCTTAACATGCCTTTGTGGTGTACTGATCAGCGCATTCGGGACGTATTCGAGAGGTTCGTGTTTCGAGTCCCGGTGAGGGAATTGCTCCTTTTTCATCTCTCCTGCTTTCAAAAATTTCCTAATGTCTCTACAGTTTTATTAATTAAACAACAAAAACTATAGAAAACACTGATAAACATAAAAACTTGAATAAAAGTAATTTTTTTTTTTCATATTCGTGTACTAAAACTAAACACTAAAAAGGCGATTGACCCCATTCTACTTCCACCGGAACTTTGAAATTCCCCTCTACTCGGTTGAGAACCCCGGAATAAAATAGGTTTATAGTAAATAAAATTTTTTAATTTTCTCAAAACTGAAAGGCATTTCCTTTCTGTAAAAATTAAACGATGATATAATTTTTTACTTGCCTTTTCACGCAATCCATTTTTACATGGGTTACATAGATCTAAACAAATGACCTTGTTTTTATTTTTATTGCATTAAAACTAAACATAAGAATTATTTTGATTAGCATGAGTCACAACGTATAATTTAATTATATTCATTTAAAATCAAACTGAGCCTTTTTTTACATATGCATAAAAGGAAAACAATTAAGTTAGCAATTTAATTATTATTAATAACTTTTAACATTTATAATTAGTAATAATTGATTATTTTAATGAAACGCATAAATAAAAACGCATAATAAAAAGAAGTAAATTAATTAATAAAAAATTTAATTTTACATTATTTAGGGAAAAGAGAATTATCCATTTAATTTCGAATTTCGGGGAAGGAAGTTTTACTTTATTTCCTGCTCGATACATGGGGAACTGAAACACATAACAACGCGTGATAAGTAACTTGCTATCTGATCATTTTTAATAGTTACTACGTATTTAAGTAGATTGCACTGTTTACTTCTGTCAAAATAAAAACACTGTGAATCCTCTCTTAGAGACCACTTCTCTAAAGTAAATCTGAAAGTCACTAGCAATGCTTTGAACATAAATATCGGTGTGAACATCACTTCTCTACTTCGAAAGAGTAATTGAATTAGAAAATTAGAGAACAAAAATTAAAAGACCTAAAGTACGTTTAAGAAATATTATTTCAAAGATATTCTAGTTATACACAGGCTGTTCGCACATTTCTTAGACAATTTTCATTGTAATTACAGAAATATTTTACCTAAATTTTTATGTTTTAAATGTTGTATTTGATAACCTTTGCTCTTCACTATCTTTATACATGAATTTCCAAGACAATAAATCTTTTTATAGTAACGGAAGAAGTATTTTATCCTATTGCTCTCGAACAGCTTTCGAATGTCTAAGGAGGTTGTTGGTCGACCGCACAACCCGATTTTAAAAAGTCCAAAAGCGCAAAAATACATTGGAGATAGATCAGGAGATTTAGTAGAGATATGAGTAAAAGATATGGCCTTGGATACCAGATTCTTGTTCCATTTGTTTCAGGAAATTACCAGTAGATTTTGAAGTGTCGCTGTTTCCTTTGTCTTGATGCAGTTCTACTGATTTATCACACTATGTGCAAAGAGAATGTATTTCCTATTTTAAAATTATGTATAAAATATGTTTTTGATAATAATGTGGAGTTGATCTTAACATTTTTCTTGACTCTCTTTCTTTTCAATTTTCCTCTATATGAAAAACCGGCAACAATCATAAATCCCTTAGAAAAGCTTTCTTTAGATCCCTTGAACCATGTTTTAAGATTTTTTCCCCTCCTCTTTAATGATAATAAATGGATCTCTTTTCATTGCAGTGATTTAAGTACATCCTAAATTCGTCTACTGTGACAGCATTTTTCCATTTTGTCCGGATAAATATTTCTCGTAAAGAATTCTGCAGCACGTTCTGCGTTCAGGTATATGTCGTGGAGAAAGATGGTGCACAATATGTTTTTTTGACATATTTAAGATTCAAGTCATCATTAATCGCTTTGTGTACAGTTGACACCGAGCAGTTTAATGATTTTGCAACTGTCCTTTGACTTGACGGATTTTCTTTTTTGCATTAAAGATCTTACTTTTGCAACATTAAAAAAATTCCGTTTTTTCCTTGGGTAGTATTTGAAACATTTTTTTTGCACTTGAAGCTAAATTTTGACGTTTTTTCCCCTTTGTTGTCGACAACATTATCTATCGTGGCCTTAGATATCGAAAGCCCATGGCTTTTATAGCGTTTTCTAATAACTAGATGTGAATAATGTTCTTCGGAAAGAACACAAACATAGCCTTGATATCCATTGCTTCTTTAAAAATGACAATTTACATGAAAACAAAACTGTCAAGCAGCAGACGATAGCATAATAGGCATTATGTTTCTTTCATCGTGTATAGCAAGGAATGTATCATACTTTGCTATTTGATACGCCAGCATATTTCATTAATCTTATACTCACAGAATTTCTTTGCTCGCTTACCGGCTGGTTATGAATGTGCATTTAAGTCATAGTTACTGACAAATACAAGGATCTTTTCTTTCCATCACCACGCTTTACTGTCCATTTGCTTCTTTTCATCGTATTTCCAAGCGCTTCCCGCTCACATCCGGTGTTCGATATAGATCTATGTTTCTCCCGCAAACAATATCACGGGTGTTCCTTCACTCGCCTTTATGGAAATGATATTGGGAGATTTTGAAGTTGCATATCTTTAAAATGAAGAAATGTTGATTCTTCTAATTTCCCATACACGACATGTAAAGTTGTCACCTTTTCTCTGGCATGGACTGTATATGAGGTCTACTTCCCTTCACGACTAAGCTGCCAGATGCAGATGTGAGTCGTCTTAACGAATCACGCCTTATCGAAATATATCAAGAAACCTTCGCAAACTGTTACATTAAAATTAAAGATTGCATTTTGAACTAAAATCAGTCAAACAATGATTAAATGGAACATGCTATTAACAGAAGCCTTCGTCTCAGCCATAAGTAAAAGTTAGGGAAATTATGTTAAATAATTGGAAGATTTATAAATATAAATACGTATACATTTCATTGTTATTTATTTTGTGAAAGAAAAGTTCTGAGTATTGTTCGAGACTGTACTATTTGAAATGTCCAAAGTGATTATACTGTTTGAAATGTCCAAAATGAAAAAACACTTTTGGGCGCTTTAGGCTGTTACTCAAATAAATTGTTGTTGTTCCAAATGCCTGAATTACTTATAAACTTTCTATTTTCTTTCAGCATGCCTTCGTGGTGTAACGGTAGCACACTCGATGCGTATTCGAGAAGTCCAGGTTCAAGTCCCGGCGAGGGCACTGTTCATTTTTTCTCGAACTAAAAGGTGGCGGACAGTATTTCATCACCATCAGGATTTGGTGATTGGGTCCCTAATCCCTAGTCAACCTTTAAAAGGGGGAGTATATAAGGTATTTTATCCCTCTTTTCAGCATGCTTGGTGGTTTAACGGTAGCACACTCGGTGTGCATCCGCGAAGTTCGGGTTGGAGTCTCGGAGAAGGCATTGCTCATTTTTCATGTCTTCTGCTTCAAAAAAAAAAAAAAAAAAAAAAAAAAAAAAAAAAAAAAAAAAAAAAAAACCCACTAATTAAAATAAATTGGCAACATTTTACTAAATTATAATCCATATGATAATGCTGTAATAAATATTCCGAAGATTCTACAGAACTGCCAGAGAAGAAGATAAGGATTTACGAGTGGTGATTTTTAAAATGTCTTTAATAGATTGCTAAAGAATTATTAAAGGTATTTATGGGAGTAAAGGTACTATTTCTGAGAAATAATTTTGACAAAACCATTTTAGAATTTTAAGCCAATAACTTCAATTTCATAATTCAAATTATTCGAAATTTGTGCATAAATCTGGTTATATTTCAAAGGCTTAGCATGGTGCTTTAAATTTTATGCTAATAGGATTAGTTTTAGCATAAAATTTAATGATGCCGCAACATAAATTTTTAGCTGAAATTCTAATAATGTTAAATATGAATAGCAAAATACCTTTCTCTTGCAGATTCCGATACTGCATGGCAAAAACAGCACAAATCTGTTATTTCCCGGTTGAGTCACATGTTGGATAAAAGCTTGCACACTGATGTCAGATTCCTTGTAGGTTCCAATCATCCTGCCATTTTCGAAGCACATAAGCTTATTCTTGCTTCTGGTAGTTATGTGTTCGAGAGTATGTTCTACAACCAGTCCTCTGAAATAACAGACCCAATTAAAATTCCTAATGTTGAACCCTTGGGTTTTGAGATAATGTTGAGGTAAGTAATGAATTCTTATTGAAATGACGTAAAATGAACGTTTATTGATTTCTTTCAGCTTTACCTACGTACACTGCGGGGGGAGGGGAGGAGAAAGGAAAAAAAAAAAAGAAAATATCTAAAAAAGAAACAGTTCTTTATCTCCCGTTCTACAGGGCCGATTGAAGAACTTCAACTCGCGGTTTTCATGTCTCGAAAGCGCAATTGAGGATACGTATTAGATTTATATATAGCATTGTTCTAATGTAGGTATTTTGACACAAAATCGAACTTTTTTCTGAAATGACAGGCCAATTGTTTTCCGTATTTCGATTCTAGGAGTCAAATTGCGTCAAACTACCAAGTTTTGTAAAAATCGCACGAGTAGTTTTTAAAAAATTTGCTCTCAAAATTTTAGCTCCTCAGTGTTAATTAAATCTGATATATAGTTATTAATATATCTTTTTTTATTAAACTTAATTGATTTATCCTTTGATATTTAAAAAATTAGGTTCATTTCAAATAAAAACTGGCCTATTTTTTATGATTTATTTTTAAAATTTGTATTTTTAAATAATTTTTTATAAATTTTTCGGAAACAATTTTGAATTAAAATCTATAAAATTTTTACCATATTTTAAAGTAGATGTATTTCTAAGCATACCTACAAAAAATTATTTTTTGTACTGTTTTTTATTCAAAATTTCCGAAGATATACGTGAATTTATATATTGACGCGTTTTGAAATTTGGAATATTTTTTGAAAACGATAATAACATCAAATGTGGTTTAGGCACTTTGTTATAATTGTTTGAAATTAAAAACGAAGTGACTTTTTTCCCTCTTATGCACAATGTAAAAAGCTAGGAACTCTGTGCCTTTTTTCGGCTCTTGCACAATGGAAGGGAAAGGAAAATAGGTTGCCATATATTAAGAAGCTTGCCAAATGAATTATTCTTGGCGCAAACTGAAAAAAATGCGCCAAGTTAACTTTTTAAATTTTGGCTTAAATTTCGCACTAAATTTTACAAAATTTAATATTTAGGCATAATTTGAGTCTTAGAATCGAAATATGGAAAAAAAATTGGTAAGTTATTTCACATAAAGTCTTATATTGTGTCAAAGTACCTAAGTTAGAACAATACTATATATAAATCTAATATATAGCCTAAGTCGCGCTTTCGAGTCATGAAAAACGCAATTTGAATTTCGTCAATCGGCCCAGTAGAACGGGAGATATCGAACTGTCCCTTTTTTTCCCTCGCAGTGTACATGGCCGATCCTAGAGGGAGTCAAGATGGTGCACGGCGTGTGGGCGGCGAAATTTAAGAGAAGTGAAATGATTATCAAACATATTATATTTCTGTAATAAAGGGGGGGGGCAGTTTTATATTGCACGTGGGCGGCCGGCGTTCTAGGATCGGTATTGCCTACCTTATATTTGACAGCAACGAGTTTTAAGTGACTCTGAGTTGTATATTGGGATACGTAAACATAGGAATACTAAGAAACTAGATATTTATATTAAAATATTTTTTACATATAACAGCTACGTCAGTTGACGTAAGGTACCACTATGCATATAAGGAACATAAGGAAGGTAAAATGACATTTGTCATGCATATGTTGTACTCTATTGGTTTTGCATACCCTGAAATTTAAATGAAAGTCACTATTCCTTAAAGCAAGAAATAATGCAAATCCCAAGCTCACAGGACATATATAGATGGGAACGGTCAAAATAAAATATAGTACTCATCTCAGTAAAGATTACGGTGGACCATAGATATGAAGATGTGATGGCAGTATAAATCGAATTTCTAAGTAGATTTAGGCTAACAGAATAGATTTACATGTTTGACTATGATGATGGATAGTATCAACAAGAACTACACTGAATTCTATCGGCGGCGAGTAATTCCCTTAGATGCCTGAGAACATAGTAAATAGATATCGGTATTGAACATTGCATTTCCATGATGACCATCTCTACAAAAGACCAAATTTAGTATTTGGAATCATAGATTGCGCTTTTACAGACGATTCATTGCATTTCAATATTACCTGTGGGCAAATGTAGAATAATATCGTAGGCGATTAATATCAAATGCGTGAATAATATTTCAAAGCGTGTCTACAATTTTCAGAAGTTTTATTGGTCAAGCTCCCGAAGAATTTCAAGACCACTTCTTTTTGGAATACTCTAGAGCTAACTTGCTGTCTTGGGGTTATGTTTCTGAAATAGGATTTATCTGTATTACTGAATTGGATTAGAGTTGATAATACCTACGGATTAAAAAAACATACACCTCTTACAAAATCACTTTTAAATCGTATAAAATAAGAAGATCCAAATAGAGCATTCTATATTCAAATATTCAATGACGATTTCTTTATTACTTTCTTTCTACAACTTTCGAATTACGCTTACACAGCATCAAATAATGTACAGCTGTTATTTTGTTGAGAATGTGCGAAGATTCTGTGTATACTCAGTGTTACACTACGATACTTGTTACGCATTGTATCATTTACATTATGTGTTCCTACCCATTGTGCTATTACCCACTGGTACAATATTATAATTAATGTGTTCATCTTCTCTGTATTGCCTAATAATATAGTTATATATACATATAGTTACGAATATATAAGCTTCCTTATAAAGGTAAATAATTTTCAGTGGGGACCAGGATCAGGAATAAGAGCCTTTGCTCTCAAGTGTACCCTATACTACTGATGAGACAGAAAATTTAATATTAATTGTGTTTTAACAATTATAATCATCTGCAATCGAAAAATAAATGTTAAATGTATGTAATAATTAGTAAATTACGAATTTAAGTTTTTCTAATTGTAACGCATATAGTATAATTTTTTGTTTCATTTAGAAAGCGTATAACTACTTGTAAAATTAGAATTTAATGTACAGCTTTAACGTATTTTGAAGTTTAGATTTTCTATTTATAGGATGTTCTGCTTAATTTGCGAGCATTTGTGAAAATCAAAAATCCAGTTCCACAGTAAAAAAAAACATTAAGATGAAGATAATTGTTTCTGAGATTGTGGTAACATATAAGGTGATAAAATTTTATAGATTTGGATTTTGTTTACTAAATAAGTTTGATTACTATGCTCTGCTCAAATAATTAAACTAAAATTTCGGATTTAAGTAAATAAGGAGTAACACATAGTATGTGTCGTGAAATTTGTTGTTTCTTTCCGTTCTGTTATAATACTGGAATTTTACTTTTAATGAACCAAGAAAGCTTAGGTTAAGTTTTTAAATAAAATTTAAAAACGCAGTCTGGATTTTTCCAACTCGGAAGCTGACAACTTTACAGTACGTATGGCAATGCAGTAAATAATTATCTAGATTCGAATGAAAAAACAAAAGTTCAATTAATCGAAGAACTGAGACAGAAATATATAAGGAATGAAACGATAATTTTACATTACCTGACAATAGCCAGAGAAAAACAAATTCTTCAACTGTATAAGAATAAGACTGCAATATATTAATATTCCTGAAAATATAATCACAAGTTCAAGTGGAAATAATATGTTAATTGTTTTATAATAATATGTTAATTGTTTTGTAATAATATGTCAATAATATGTTTATAATAATATATCAATGATTGTTTGATAATTTCTACTATTTTCTGCAATAGAGAAGATTTGGTATATTTAACCCTTAAACAAAAGGGATGTCAAAATTGTGTATCTTTTCGCAGACCGAAAGCATATAGCTATTTTTTAATTTTATTTTAGCACAAGAAATGAGATTTTTTTAAATCCGGTAAGTTAAATTTTTGGTGCTACTTTGGTAGACGATTGCACGGATTTTGGCGAATTTTTGGCGATTTTTTTTGGCGAGCGATACGACTTATGGTAAACCCATTGCTGGACAAGTTATTTATGGTAACCGATATATTGTTTTCATTTTATTTAAAAAATAATGCCTTTTATTATGCATAAATTCCGTGTTTTAAATATTATTTATGACTTCTAAATAAAAAAAATGAATTTAATTTTGCATTTTTATTTGAAATAAAAATTTTATTGTTTATGATATTTTATGGAATTTTATGCTGTGAATGATGAAATGAATGACGTCACATTATTTTAAAATTAATTAGTTTTAATATCTATAAATTAAATTAATGTTTTGAACATTATTTATGGCTGTTAAATATTATAATACAATTTAATTTTGCATTTTTTAAATATGATTTTATTATGAATGATTATTTAAATAATTTTAATTCTATGCGTGATGTAATTAGCTCCCTTATTGGTTACTGAATATTTGTGCATTACCGCGCCATTTTAAAATTTTATTATTCATCTCTTCGAATTCCTCAGATTTCAAAGCGAGACCTTATTTTGGCCAACCTGGCTTTCCTAATCAAAGATTTATTTATTGTTACAAGGGTCAGAGGAAATTTATTTAAATTTTTGGAGGAAACCTCGCTAATTGCTTCTTCAATAAAGTGCGAGAGATGTGGATCACACATGAAGAACTTTTTTCTTTTTTTTTTTTCCTGGTACTTATCAATATAAGACAGGTAAAATACTTTAAAAAAATGTAAGTGCATATTTTTCTTTTACTTTATAATTGTATACTTCAATTTTTATTAAAAAATTAATACACTGTTTTCAAAAATTCCTGAAAATTCAAATATATTTATTGCCACATATGTTTTAATGTTAAATAATTATATCCTATAAAACTTATTTTAAAGGATTTGAATTTAAGTAATTAAAAATTTTTAATTCTTTTAAACGTTGGTAGGATGTTTTTAATTCAATTTAAATAATATTTTATTCCAATTAAATGTTGGCGCAATGCTTTTATAGAGGTATTTTTATTCTATTATATGAAAGTAATAATTTAACCTTACTTTAGCATTTTATACTCTTAGTAAATGTATTTATTTACATTTGCCAGCCATCTTAAGAAACAACGTTTTCAACAAAAAAAGAATCCATTATTTTTAACGATATTTTTTTTTTTTTTTTTTTTTTTTTTTTTTTTTTTTTTTTTTTTTTAAAGTTTCGAATACTTTACTATGCGTGAAATACGTAAAAACAGCATTTTTCAAGATGGCTGACGACTGTAAAAACCGCGCCAACGTAAATCGCCAAAAATCCGTGCAACCGACTACCAAAGTAGCACCCAATTTTCTTAAAAGTAAATAAACTGAAGATACAATTTTCTGCTACTTGTTCTTTATAAATTTAATTTTGTATTGTAATGTTCCAACCTCGAATTTACTGCTAAATGTCTACAGTCTTGAGAACTGGTGAGCAAATAATCGCTTTGGTTCAGGAGACAGAAATTCAAGAAGGGCTGATTACCCTTTATTGCTCAAAATAAAGTTTTACAGTCGGTGCTCTCTCAGGACGTACAGAAAAGCCTGTACTTGGGCTCGAACTCAAGAATACTAAGAAATGATACAGAAATATATAAGGAATGAAACTTAACTACTGCTTAGCTAAAAAGATATAGCCGAAGCTATCAAAATTCTACAAGAGTACTAAGTAACGCTAACTTAACGCCCTAACTAAACTGCGAAGTTATCAAGAGCCTGAAACACGGCCGAGCGTAGTAATATCTTTAGAGAGAGTGTAGCCAAAAGGCGAACGCGCGCTGTTCAGAATCTCTGGCCCTCTAACGAAGTCAGTGGAACTTCGACTTTAAATACTGCTCTTCCTTCATTTGCATTTATACACGATTCTGAAAACACATTCTGACAGGAAATTTGTAAGCTGAAATTAGAAGTGTTAAGAAACTGGCTTTAACTAAAAATTAACTGTTAAAAACTTAGGATAAACCTTACAGTATTATTTTTACATATAGATTTTGGATCTGTGATATAACTTCTATAATAAATTAGTTTTGTTTATGGATCATACATAATGAAACTTTTACTTAAAACACGCACTGGGAGATATTTATTCCTTTAACAATCCTAGCGATCTAGTATTCCTACAAGCAAATTCCACGTAAGAGAAAACCGTAATGAAATATTAACATTATTCCAATCTCATTTAATGGACATAAAACATAACGTTTTTTATTTGATGTTTTAAATTTTATGCTCTTAAAAATGCTATTATGTTTTTACATAATCTTGGCATAAAAGATGGATATTATTTATAACACTTTTTCCAAGAATGCCTAAAATTAAAATTACTCAAACTAATCAATGTGTACAAGGTTCGAAAATGTTTGGCATGTATACGAGAAGTTCATCAGCTGACGATAATAATGCTTAGGCTTTGCATGATTTAAGAAAAGATGGATTTTATTACAATAAAATATTTTGTCTTCTTATAATTTTAGTTTTACTATTTATTTGTATTCGTAATTTTATGTGGACTAAAAGATTAAATTTTTTTTTTAAATGTTGCTTGCAAGCTCATTTCTTCATAACTATAAAACGAAAAGTTAAAATGCTGAATAATTGAAAGTATTAAATTATTTAAATATTATTTATAAATTATGATAATATGTAATATAAATATTTAATATCTAAATTTTTCTGACTGGAATGAAGTATTCCCAGTGAATGGATCAAACATTTTTAGACAAGGTGATGTATGATGCCCTAAAAAATGAAATTTACTGTTCTTTGAAGCATTTTTTATTTACTGCTAATTATAAAATATCATATATTGCTAGGAAAATGCTCATTAATAATTATGTTAAAATGTTTTTAAAAATGTCAATTTTCAGCACAGAGTAAAAGATTAGAAAGAGGAAAGCTTGGAAAAGGGAGCAGCCATTACCATTCCCCTCTTATGAGCATAAAATTGATGCAAAATTCAAAAATGAGGATTTTACACCAGTTATAAATAATTGGAATTTAATATCTGAATAATTGGCACCTCAACAGGCGAATTAATTGGGCTGCAGATTAACTAGGTCTTGTCTGTAAAAAGTTAAGTTTGTGTATTACAGAGCGCTAGAGAAATCACCATAAAAAATTATCAGCGTAAAACAAAACTATCTTTCGAAAAAAAGAAAAAGAAAATGGGTAGGGTAACGGCAGCGGTGGCTCATTTTTTAAATCAAGCGCACAGCCATTAATTTGTTTCATTTGTTCCATTAATTTGTCTCATTCACTTGAACTCATATCGAAACTATTCAGTAATGTAAACAGAAACAAACAATATGTGCACCACGTTAAGAGGAAAGAAATATTCACAGGGACAATATAAACAGAAACAGAAAGAGAAGTGCACAAGTGCTCGAAAGAGAGAAAAAATAGCTTGAATACTGATTAGAGATTAAATTGCTTGAAAACTCAGCTAAATTGTTCATAGTACTTTTCTGTTAATTACAGTATGGGTTATTCATCTTCCCCTTTTTCTTAACTGCCGATGGAGTGTGATTTTTGTGACGCTGATTTTGATCTAAATAGTAATTTTAAATTAAGTGTGGACTTTGTTTACAGTGTGGACTTTGTTACCCCTGTTAATTAGAATCTGACTGTATTAGCTTTACAGGTGAATAAATAGTATACTTTCTTTTACAGGTACTTGTATGACGATAGCACAGATTTCGAAAATGACGCTGAAGTTTTTATGACATTGCTATGTGCAGATGCATTCGCTGTAGAATCTTTAAAAGAGATCTGTCTACAACGACTGTCTGAATTACAACCGTCCTCAGAGAACGTCTGGATTTCTTTGGCCTTCAGTAAATATTACAAACTTGCAGCCCTGGAAGATCACTGTACATCTTTCATTATTGAAAATGCAAGGGATGCCTTTCAAAGTGAACATTTTCTCAGTGCAAACATGCAAGTGCTTTATTACGTTCTATCTCTACCACTTTTGAGAGTAACAGAGTTCGAACTTTTAAAGTTTATTGTAAAATGGGCAAAAAATCGCAAAAAAGAGGAAACGGTTTCCTTGAAATATCTGTTACAACCTCTGTTGCGCTTAATTCATTTTCCGTCAATAGGACCGGGAGAGTTCTGGAAATTTTCCGTCGAAAATCAAGATGTTTTTGATACCAAAGATCGACTCTGTATAATACACCACTTAATAAATTCAGATACTTACCCGCTTCCTGTGTGGTGTTGCAAGAACAGTCCAAGATGTGACTTAACAGAAAACATTTTGTTCAATTTGGTTGATACCTCCTCACGGAAGCGGGCATACACATCGATAGTGAAGTGGTTTGAATGCAAATATGAAATACGAGTTACTTCTAAGGAAGTGCTGCATAGCGATGTACAAACAATGACTATTGCCTGGGGCAACAAACCTGAAGATCTGCCTTTAGACTGCGATATCAAAATTACATGGAACCAAAACCTGTCTTTCAAATTAAATTCAGTTAAAAAGTCTCATGAAATGCAAGAAATTGTTTTTAATTTTGATAAAAAGATTTAACGGCCATCTTCGTATCATCCATTCACAATTCATGTGCATTTCAAAAAACCGGTAACAATATTTTTTCTTCGTGCTTCTCCACAAAGAACTAATTCTGTGAAATGCGTATTTCTCAGTGCTCAAGCGATGACTTCAGCAAATAAAAGAATAATGTTTAATAAAGGTGACTGCGTGAATAATATAACATTCACACGAAGGATACAAAATAAACCAGTTAGAGATTAGAATTTGATTGCAGCTTTTTTAATTAAACATCGTAGCTGAAAATTAAAATTTTATTACATTATTTTTGTTGTTACTTCTTATTTGTAAATTTTTTACTTATAAAAATTTATCATTAGCAGATTAGTAATGTATTTTACGCTAACAAAATTTTGCAAAATCTCGCTATTTGTTTAAAGACAATTTAGATGTCTCACAGATCTTAAATTTTCTAGTCTGTATCATAGGCTGGCAATATATTATAAGGTATTTCTTCGCCTTCCTAACATGACTTCGTGGTGTGGTGGTCTGCACGTTGGGCGCATATTCCAGACGTCCGCGGTTTGATCCCCTACGAAGGCGTTGCTCAGTTTTCATCTTGCCTGTTCCAAATTACCTAACGTCTCTACAATATTAAAAAGAATCATTTATCCTATTGCCTAAGCAGAAACAACGGTGAATAATATTATGTTTCAAATGTTCAGAACTTAAAGCAGATAACCAGAATAACGCTTAGTGCCTGCAGTTATCAATATGTAAAAACTGTTATTAGTATGTAATATTCAACCTTGTTACTTTGGAGTCTTCCCCGCCGTGATGGTACATAATTCCGTTTGGTTCATGTCCGTGGTCGGAAGCCATCATAGCGGTGCACTCACTCACTCACTTGCAAGAAAGTTATTATTATTATTATAACTTTTCTATTATAACTTTTCTTAAAAATTCTTTTTCAAGAGATTACAGTAAAAAATATAATAATGATCAAAGTTATTATAAACAATTTTTGGAAACAATTCGAGTTTTGTAATAAATAATTGTAGTCAACATTTACGTAGTGGCCCATTTTGGAAAACTTCGATATGTATAAGCAATTCACTATTCTAAATTTGATAACTTGTTGGTATGTCAATACAGTATGAAAGGTGTTAAATTAATGTGTATTTCTTACATTTACATCATACTTTCTTAGTGAAAATTTAATTCAGTTAGAACTTAGTTAAATAAACGTTTTCGCTAAAAAATTGCAAGACAAGTGTATGCATTCTTCTAACAGCTACAACCGATGCAGTTCCATGTCATGTGTTTCAATACAGTACGAATTATAATTTCTGAGATAGATAAATGGGTAGTTTAGAAACTAATCAAATTTCATATTTTTTAATTAAAATCATGAATATTTTCACATGAATCACATAATATTAAATATCATCACAAAAAAGGACATCCAGAGACCTTTCGCTTTTGCATAAATTAAACCTATTCAGTGATATGCAGTATATTAAAACTATTACAACGGGGTATAGAGATAAATTATCCACCAGATAGAGATTAATATATAATCACAAAAAAAAAAAAAAAAAAAAAAAGTTTTTCAAAGGACAGGGGGGGGGGGCATGCCAGCGCCTTCACTGACACAATTTTCATTGTCCAAAACATAAACTTCCACTTCGGCATAGCGCCAACGCCTTTCCTAATTAGAAGAGTATTAAAGCAGGAGTTGCTAGCGGCTGGTAGTTACCATTAGCACCTCAAACATAAATTGCTTGCAGCCATATTACTCGCAACCGCATATTATTCTTTAACAGGAAAATGATTTCATGAAACAGTTATTTCGACATGTTTGATTAAAGTCAATACATCTAAATATGATTTCCCATTGGCGAGAGCACTATCGCACTGGAGGATTACTGTAGCAGAGGAAGGAAGTCACAGATTTGGTTGTATTGAAGTGCATGTTCAGGTGAGCTGTAACTTTAGTTACAGTGTAGTGAATCATCTCCGCTGTGACTTAACATTGTTAGAGCCAATCCTAAATATCCATGCTGAAAAGGAGATAATGCGCACTGGAAATAATTTCATACAATAAATGCAATGGCATGATTTGTTTTCTTGAAATACTTTTTGCAGTGAAGCTATTTGATCAATGAACAATTTATAACGTTCTATATAGATGAAATTCGTTAAACCGAAAGCAGAAACTCAGTAAATTACTTTTCATTTTCTAAGATTTTCGCTAGATCTAGTGAATAATGAAGTTTTTGCAGGGAGGAGCTATCTTCAGAACATAGTTTAACAACCTCTAAAAATTCTGCAGAGGAATTTTGAGAGTCATAAATCTTGAATGGTCTAGTAACTAAAATTTTTGTCGAATTTCCAGGACGCAAAGGCTGAAGAAATATCATGAAAAAAAGAATATACTCTGAATGTCAGTGTTCTTTTTACGCAGTTTTTTAGATGAAATTATTTCCAATAACGACCTTCGTAATCTATTCTTTATACTACCTTTAATATCTACAGGTTTCGTTGATATCCACATTTATCAATTTTGGATAATTATGTCTGAGGTACTATCTCACATTTGTTCTACGAAATGGTGATAAAATACTTGGTGAACCCGATAAAGTATATTATATTTCTTCTTTCGAAAAGACTTATCAAATGATATTACATTTGTCAGTTCAGCAAAATTTCAAACATGGAAGGTAAGAATTATTGTAAAAATCCATTTTTTATTGATTCAGAACGAATTCATTCATCTTGAATTCATTTTAATATTTTGAAACGAAAATATATACCAGATATTTAATATAATGAATCGCTATCTTTAGAATTCTCGAACAGTCTTACAGATAGAATTTAAATTATAATGTATTATAGAAATTGCGTTTTTTTCATTACCAGCGAAATTTTAACAAACTATAGCTATTTTTATTTTTTATTTAAGCAAATTTTTTATTTTCCAAGAACCTTAACAAGAGAAAGACCATGAAAATGAATATCTAACTATTCAGAGAATCTTTCTTAAAAACATTTTCGTAATTATACGGAACTTACGATAAATTACTATGCTTAAGATTATAAATACCTGAAAATACGAATAAGTGTACAGCTACGTCTTGCATAACTAATTTTTTCCTCATTAAATAAGTGTGATGTTACTTTATGATGAAATAAGATAACAATTTTGTTTTTCTACCATTTGGGTTTGCCATTTTGAGGAAGTAATTTTAAATATGTAGGGTTGTATGTTAGTAACTCATCATATTATTTGTTATCTTTACTCTCATTTCTACTTTCGTCAGCTCTCGCTAGGATGTAATGCAGCTATTAAATACATGAACACAGTTCTTGATGTTATGAGAGACATTTCGGCAACGACCGCTAACTTTTTCCATGTAGTTTCTAGATTGACTTGAATTGGCTTTAGCATTTGCTAAGCCATGGTGCTTGCGTGATTTAAGGACCTCAGCCAACATTAATAGGATAACATGTATTGTGAATTTATGCATAAATTATTTCAGTTTACCTTAACTCTTTTTGTATTGTTAATCGCGCAAAAGATGCAAGGTGCGGCTTTTACGGTTTCTAAACATGCTGTGTAGGTTTGTCAAATAGAGTCAGTACATGACCTCCCGCCAATCATGGAGCTTTAAGAAAAGCATCGCTTGTAGACACATTAGGTTTACTGGAAGCAGGCAAGATGAAAAATTAACAACAGCCTTCGCCAGGAATCGAACCACGGACCTCTGGAATACCGGCCCAGCGTGCAGAGCCACTTCACCACGAAGGCACGCTAAGAAAGCGGGAGAAATACCTTATATACTCCCCTTTTTAAAGGGCAACTGGTGTTTTTTAGGGGATACAATCGCCAAATCCTGGGCGTGGAGTAACCTCATCCAACACCATTTTAGTTCGGGCGCCACTGTAGAGATATTAGGTTAATTGGAAGCAGGAAAGATAAAAATATGCACCCGCTTTCGCCGGGAATCGAAGCACGGACTTCTGAAATACCGGCTCAGTGTGCTGACCACTACACCACGAAGGCACGCTAGGAAAGCGGAAGAAACACCTTATACGCTTTCGGTTGATCGTTTATAAATAAGATCTAATTTGTTTATAAACATTATATAATTACAAGCATTATTCATTTTTTAGTCCAAAGGGGCAATTTACCCAGAAGGACTATTAATTTCGTTTTGGCATGCCGATTCACTACAAGTGTTGTTTCACTTTTCAAATTGTTGCCACCAAATATTATCGCCCTGTATTATATTTAAAGAAATTAGATAATGAAGAATCTGCATAAATGTATGTAAATTTCTCGCATTGTTTTAAAACATTGGTACCTAGAGCCATTTAATTTTGAACAACGTAATTCTCCTGGGAATATGGGCATGTGGAAGCCCAAATTTGAAATTTGGAATTTGTTGCATTATTAATTTCATATTTTGTAAAACGTTAACGAATTTTTAATTAACAAACTCAAAGATTTCAAAGCAAGCACTGGCAACGTTGTCCAGAAAAAGCGTTTTTATTTCCAGCTCGTGAGACTGTGTATCGGAAATTCTAAAGACATGCTCAGTTTAAAATTATTTTGCGATATTGCTCTTGAACTGAATTTTATGGTTTAAGTGCGAAGAACATGATATGCAATAAATAAATGTAACACACAAAATGTTTAAAAAAAAGCCCCTTTAAACGTAATTTTAAATCTGAAAAACCTTAATTTTTTTTATTTGTATTATTATTATTATTTATTATTACTCGTATTATTATTATTATTCTGTTTTCTCAGACAACGGACACAGATAACCGTATGTGCTCATCAGTTCACATCAGTTCTCATGCTTTGATATGAAAATATCGCATCGATCGTAGTATATTCGCTGGTCATGTACTGTATGTTAAAATCACAAACAATGATTTTAACAATCAAAAAATGTTTTAAAGCAGCATATCTTTAGAAGTGCTGTCATTACCTTCGGCCGTATCTCAGTTTATAATATCAATGTTCAGTTTTTTAATAAAATGACCGGTCATTTTATTAAAAATGACTATGATTCATGACTATGATTTTATTAAAATGACCGGTCAAAAAGTTGGCCAACTTTTTTTATTTGTCATCCATGTTTTATTTATCGAACATCACTTTCTTTGCATCTTTGCAACATAAAATTTAACGACTAAGTCACAAACTCTTAAAAAGCAGCATGTTTTTAGAATTCTCAGTAGAGTGTTAATTGATGCTTACATTTTTCTTATATTCGCTATATTGTTTATTTCTGCTATATTATCTTTCAAAATAATACGTAGCGATACCATTTGATGGCAGCATCCTTATTTGAATAAATCTGACGTGTACACCACATGACTTCCTTGCAGGGAATATTAAATTATAGGCATTTTTTGCTGCATTTCATTTTAACTTATTTCTTCTAATTTCATTAGAGATATAGTTCTCATTTAATTAATTTAGTTCTCCCTTCGCGACAAGGCAAAATACATAAAATCTCAAAATACTTTTACTCGTATTAAAAAATGGAAAAATACAGAAATAAAAAAAAAACAGTTAAAATAATTAAAAAACAAATGTTACAATTAAAATTTGAGTTTCTGTGCAAAAACAAGCAATTCGGCAGCCGGCATGGAGGCAGATTTCTTGGTGCACAAAACTAAATGTTTACTTTTTTTCCCGCTCGGCAAAAAGATACTGAAGGATGCAGAAACTGAATTCACTATTCTGCTAAATTTCAAATGCAAGAAAATATGGCTGCTATGGTAAAAATATTAAGCCACACTTAAATGAATTTTACACTGTTGATAATTCTACAACTATTATGTGCAGATCAACTAAAGACATAAAAACCTTAACCGGAAGAAAAGAACAACATAATTCAATCCTTTCTAAAGCAAAAATTGCAGAATTTACCAACATATAAGAATAAAAAAAACTGAACTCACGGAGCCGAGTAACATATTGCGTACATATATATACTTTTGGTATGGTCGATTGCAACCAAAAAAGGGAGATGCACAACTACATGTTGTAACAGTCTTATATACGAAATTTCAAGATTCTGAGGCTACTCATTTTTGAGTTATGACAGATACCTACATAAGTAGGTACGTACGTACAGACGTCATGAAGAAATCTTCTCTTAATCCATTTTAAATCCTTTTTGTAACCTGTTTTGAGAAAAAGAGTCTTTTTATGTTACGCAAAAATACGTTAAATTGTATTCGATGCTGGGAAAATGGATATTTTCGTTGAAATATGATACCCGAAAATTTTCGCAATTACATTTCTTCCTTTACTTCGTACAAGGAAGTAAAAATGATTCAACATGAAAGTGAAACGAACACCAAATTGAGGATTGACGCTGATACATTTAATTGCTTCATAATGAGCTTGTTCTTATTGCATTTAGCATAATTCAAAGAATGCATTAAATGATTATAAATGTAATATGTTGTTCTCAGTAACATACCTATTTTAAATAGCACATTTGAGAAATTTTGGATAATCTCATAATTTATTTTTTAACAAAAGTTTGTTGATAGCTTCAAGTAAAGTATCCCTTTCGATTTGTCAATTTTAACCAAAATAAAATTGTTCTCACTGACATAAAAATCTTAACTAATAAAATTGAAAGATTTGGATTACATTTTAATATAATTTTTTATTAAAAACCATTATGGGGTTCCTGTAAAGTATTACTTTCGGTTATCCAGTTTTACCCCAAATCTAATCAATTTCTTTATATGAATGTAGAAAGCTTAAATAACGAATACAGAAATTCTTGTAAATTTTAAGCAAGAGTTATCGTGGACAAAAAATCGTCGCACACGTATAATCGCACACAAAAAGAGACATCATTGTAAAAGTAGTAAAAATAAGTAATAAAAAAGTAGTAAAATAAGGACCCTAATTCGTGTTTTTTGAGTGAAAACTCACTATCGAGTTTTTGGATTGAAAGCATCACTTTCCTCACCTGATGTACGGTTGGTTAAAAAAGGTTTATTTTCAAGCTTCTTCTCAATTAGGCTTTATGAGGTCTAAGACGAGGCAATAAGTCTACTCAGAGGACAGGATTTAGCAGTTACAAATATGATAATTTATGCTTAACTTCTAGAAAACTAATTATTTAGTAACTACTTATTTTAAAACTGTTTCAGATGTTAAACGAAAGTCTTCATTAGAAGATTAGATTGAAATTTATTTTGGATTATTATTATTTTTTGTATTATATTATAAAAATTACATATTACTATTTATATATTATTAGTTTTAAAATATTTTTTTCAATTTTCATTACTCATATTTTTTCATTTCTTTTCAAATTTTCATATCATTTTCATTTAATTTCCTTTAATTTTTTCATATTTTTTATTTTATTATTATTTTTATTTTTTATATTATGTTTTTCATACATTTCATACTGAAAAATTTTTTAAAAAGTTAATTTATCTTCGAGGCTTTAGAATGCAGTCTAAAATTTTCAGGCTGCACTTTTTAACAGTCAATCATATTTTACGATTTTTTGCCAGATCATCGATTTTTCTTATCGAATCAAATAAAGCAAATAAAAAAAAGTTTTTTCTTGAAAATTCGTCATGGCTGTGTTTGATTATACATACAATACTGTAAATCAAATGCATGATAAGGATTGCCTAACAATGGCTTAGTAGTAAGACCCCTGGACACTGATGGTTCCAAGTGGGTTTAATCCGGCAAATGGCCATGCATCTCCTCTTGTAGTATGTGAATATGTGCCCGTTTCCTTTAGAAAGTCCCCCAACAGACGCATGCAGCGCCTTTGTGCAACTAAATTTATGCATTTAATAGCACTATAGTTTGCTAGTTTGGAATGCGCATTTAAGGCCATTTTTCCTCAAATCAAGCCTCATAAACATTTTGCGTAACGACTGCTGTGGGAAAAGGTTAAACAGATTTTTAATTTGCTAAAATTCCTTAATTCCCTCAATGCAGTGATGACGACACACGTTACAAAGCATGGATCTTATAAGAGATAGACTAACCCAGTGGGCGGGGCGCGCGTCACCGACAAGTCGCCAAGAAAGAGTAGGGACGATCTGGTTTACTTTAACACTGAAACCTATGGCGTTTGTATCACATAACTCTTTTTAATTATTAAATGTGATACGTTATATAGTGATGAGATTATGAAAGCCACAGTTTTTTCCAAATAGGATTTAATACATCTCATTAAAGCACTTTTTACTGTATTTCGCGCATTTTTTCCACGCGTAATTCTTGTACAAACATCTTTACTTTGGTAAAACGGTAAAAACTCTAAGCACAAAATTTATGAACTTAATTTTGCTTAAAAATAAAGTAAAATTAAATAAGATTGATAGTACGCGATGCTTTGAAATAAATAAGGTAACATTAAACAAAATCTGATATATTTTTTAAAAATGTAATGAACATTTTCAGGCAGGGATTTTCCAAACTATAATAACATTACAAAACGATCATATTTATTTGATTATGATCATTAAGTTATTAACATTAAAGTGATTTAGTTATTTTAATAATTCATAAAATTCGGGGCATAAAATTTTCTGAGCGTAAGGGAAAAAAAAAAAAAAAAAAAAAAAAAGGTAAAATAAAATCTAGAAGCACTCAGATTTTATATTACGCCCAAAAGGAACATTTTTTTAAAGTTTTGTGTGTTACTTATATTTATTGAATATCATGTTCTTCGCCCGTAAACCACATACATTCGAAAACAGCATATCTTTAGAATTTCCGCACTGGAGATAAAAATGTTATTTTCCGTACAGTGTTGCCATTGCTCACTTTGAACTCGTTGAGTTTGTTAATCAAAAATTCGTTAAAGTTTTACAAAATATGAAATAGATTAAAACAAATTCGAAATTTTGACCGTCCAGATGTCCATGTTCGGGTGGAGGATTACATTATTCAAAATTTGATGGCTCTAGATACTGTCGTTTTTGTCACAGGGCGAGGAACATACATGTATTCATGCAGATTCTTCATCATTTAATTTCTTTACATATAATACCGGGCGATAATATTTGGTAACAACAATTTGCAAGGAGACACGGACATTTATAGTAAAAGAGCGCAAAATGCCACTTCGAAACTAACAGCCTTTCTAGGTTACCGTCCCTTTGGGCTAATAAATTAAATTAACAGTAAATAAAAAAATCTTATGCAGAACTAAAAATAAATTAAAAAAATAATCACTATAAAATACAAGCAAAATTAATTATTACGGTTAAATACAATTTTAATATTAGAATTAAATGTATAAAAATTTTTTGAAATATAATTGAAATAAAATTCCTTTATAGAAATTGTGCTATAATACTCATCTATAATTTTAAAAAAGCAGCACAATTTAGAATTTTAAACAAAACTTTCAAAAATTCGTTTTTAAATATTTTAGTATTTTTTACTTATTTACACTAATAAAAAGCATAAAAATTGCAAGAGAAAAGTTCTTGTTTGAAATTTTCTATTAGTTAAAATTTAAAATATTATTTTCTAAAAGAAGTAGTTACAAATTTCCTTACAGCATAGGAAAAGCTAGAAAAATATCCAGACCTGAAAACATGCAATAGCTTTATAATTATTTGGAAAGTTAATTATGCTTAATAAATATGCTAAATTTTTAGAAATCAATCTCAGTTTCAAAAATGAAAATATGTAGAAATTCTAATTTGTGAAATGAGGCACTACAACCAGCTTTTTCTTGACAATTATACACGCTGCAATGGGCAACCAATGTTAAATTTCTGCAAGTCATCTCTACTCCTCCGGATGTGATCAAGGTGACAGCCGGCAACGCCTCAGACGAGGGAGAAAACCCGTTTGGGTTAGTCTATTTCTAATAAGGTCCATGTTACAAAACAAACGAGGGAAGGGTCGCTATAAACCTTGAAGTGCCAGACCTCGATAAAGTAGCAGATTATAGTCGGCTCTGCGATAATCGAAAGCTAACCAACCAAGCACTCCGGCAACTGCTTGGCCTCCTTTTTCCACTTTAGAAAGTGATTGTTGTTAGGATTACTTTCTGCTTTTACTGTAATAAATATGCACGAAATGTCAGATGTATAAGTTCATTTGTTTTCGAAGACTAACAAATGTAAGAGCAATGATCTGAGAGATCAGTACTATATTGCTGAGGATTTAGAATGGGCTATTGGTTATGGCAAAGAATACACTAAGGTTATCTGCCTAAGGAGAGGGATGTGATCTTGGAGAACATTCTGAGGAAAACTGGCTCTTAGTCACGTCACACATGGGGTAAACCACCATGTGCAGCCGGACCGTTCGCTCTAATTTGAACCCAGATAGGATTACCAGTGTTCAAGGGACTTAAGTTTTGCTCAGACGACAGTTTTGTCGCCATAAAGCTTTGCGGTTTAAGCTATAAAAGTCATTAAATCCACTGACACCTGTTTAGCAAGGTTTAAGTCATACCCCATCAGGGAAGGTAAAGTTGCGCTTGCATAAATGTGTAGCTGACTCAGCGAAATTGTCGATCGATGTTTTTTTCGCTGTGACTGGCAGCTCTTATATCAAGTGGCGAAAAATTGATAAGTGAGAACATTTAGACAAAATCCAGTTTTTCTGACGTAGTAACCAAGCTTGGCTTAGACCATTTAGGATTTTAAAACCACCGTGTTAGAGAAGCTTCATATATGCGGCCACGGATGAGCTGGTAAGGTAAAAGTAACGGTGTCTGTAGCTACCTTTTTAGAACACTCTGTATACATTCTGCAATGCATATTCTTGCTTAGCAATGTTGGCCACCCAGACGGTACAGTGGTTTGTGACGCTGACTGACGTACCGATGCGTTCGGATTCGAATCCGAGAGAAGGTATGGATGTTTGTAAGCGTATAATGTCTCTGCGGCAAGGGGGTAGTCTCTGCGGCGAGCCGAAAGTCCTCTCGAACGGCTAGTGGTAGGGGAAGAGGGCTGTGACACTATGGCCGTTTTTCGGAGTGTCGTTCCTCAAAATTGTGGTGGAGTTATGATATTTAATATACCTATAGAAATGCATAGACGGTCTTGCTTGAGCCTGTTCCTGATTAGTAATGTTCTACAAATTCATTTCTACCTATAGCATACGAAAATATTTCCTATGAATAACACGAAAGAAAAATATTTTGTTTGAATTAGCTGTGTCCTTAATCGTTAGAAAAAAGGGTTATTCTACGATAATTTAAAACGGTTTTTCAAAACATTTATACAAAATTTACATTTTACATTATTCAAAAACTTCTACTCTGCTTTTTATGAAACTGAAAATAAAACAAAATTAATTAACTCTAGTGTAACATGTATTTAAAGTTCCTATTCTTTTCCAGTATTTGACTAATAGAATACCTTTGCTTTTTCAGATTCTAAAACCGCATGGCAAAAAGAACACATCTGCGTTATTTCCCGTTTAAGGCACATGCTAAAAGAAGGCTTACATACTGACGTCAAATTCCTTGTAGATTTCCCATATCCTACAACTTTCGAAGCACACAAGCTTATTCTTGCTTCTGGTAGCCAGGTATTCGAGCGAATGTTTTACACGGAATCTTCTGAAAAGACAGATATAATTCAGTTTCCTGAAATAGAATCGCTGGGCTTCGAGAAGATGCTAAAGTAAGTAAAACTGCACAAGAACACAGTACAAATAAGATATCTCAGTTTCTCTGCACATTTACAAAACAATATCTAATAGGAATCGAAATTAGTGAAACTGAATAACAGGTATTAATGCATAAATTCTGTTTAAAATTAACGATGGAGTTTCAACTCGCTGAAATTATTATTTACCATGGTAAAGCAGACAAATATAATTCCGTACTTTAAATAGCAAAACATTTGGTACTTACGTATTATCACAACCATTTTAATGTGTATACAAACCAGTTACCCTTAGAAAGTCCTCCACGAAGGCATCCCTCCCCTTAGGCAGATAGCCCTAGTGTGCTTTGCCGTATTCTCAATACACCACCAATACACCAACCATTTTAATAGAAATCGTCTAATTTTCAGAACGTGCCAAATTCTGGCAACCATTCGTATAACCAATCCTAAGGCAACCGCTCATAACAATCCTGCAATCAAGCAGCGTCGCCATTTTCGTTTCCATTCTTTTTGTTCTGTTCCAAGTTAGAACGGTCTTCATAGATAAATCGTGCTATTTTTTGCCTTATACTCAATTTTAAAATATCACTTGTGGAATTTACCAGCAACAGAAAAACAGCAGTAAAAGGTTTTCAGAAATAGAAGATTTTGTCGCAAAACGGCTAAAGGGAACAGTGCAAATCTCTGCTATTCTTTTTCAAGCAAAAAACAGATCACAGTGTACATAAGTATTGTGGAAAGTTTCATAGCTGTACAGCACTTGATAGGGAAAATATGAAATTTATTATATGTTTAAACAAATTTAAATTCTTAACAAATACGTATAAAAGTAAAAAAGTAAAAAAGCAAATTTAAATTCTAAAAAAAGGAAAAAAGCCAAAATAATTTAAAATAATTTAAAAATATGCAAACATGTAAAAGATTTAATTCTCGAACTAATCTACAATATCATTTAAATTCAGAAGCATAAGCAAATCAAGTGCAAAATCTATCCATGAAATTAAATCTACTAATTTAATAAATTAAAATTAAATAAAACATTTTTTTTTAAAAATGCATATGTTAATGATCGTAGAGTAGGGAGGAGACAGACATATCAAGGGGAAGTTGCCTCCAAACCTAGCCCACCAGCGGCCGAGCGGTAAACTCGCTGAACACTGGTAGTTCGGTCCGAGGTTCGAATCCCGCGAACGGGCTGGCTGCATGGGTGTTTTCGTGGTTTTCCCCACGTGTAACGTGTATACGAGCCAGTTTCCCTTAGAAAGTCCTCCACGAAGGCATCCCTCCCCTTAGGCAGATAGCCCTCGAGGCTTTGCCATAATCACACACACACCTCCAAACCTAACTCTCCAATCATTCAATTCGTGTTTTGTCATTCATGCAGGCAAGGGTAAAAGTCAAAACCAAAAGTAATTACAATAAAGTGGTACCCTTAGAAATTAACATTTAAGTATTAACATTTAAGAATTAAAATTCAAAAAGGAAAATACTAATTAAGTCTTTTGAGAAACAAGCAAGTAAAGTCAAGAATTAAACTTTTTCTTAAAAAATTAAATTTTTTAAAAATTAATTTTTTATAAAATAACAAAAAAAAATCTAGATACCAATGTATTTTAGAAATCCTTGTCTACAGAAACTTCCCCTACACGAATATGCATATCAATAAAAAGAAACTATAAAAGAACTATACATAATCCATATAAACCAATAAGAAATAAAAAACATCTTATGAAACAAATTTATTATATGAATATTTTACATTCTATGTGTTAAACTCTTATAAGTCAGCATTTTACATCAAAGCGACAAACTCGGCGTTCATTGGCAGACTTATTAAAAGCGCTGGATACTGGTAATTCAATTATGGTTCAAATTCTGGCAAATAGGCTGGCTGCATGGAAGATTTCATGATTTTCTTACGTAGTAACTATAAGAGCCGTTTACGCTTAGAAAGACCTACATGAATGTCACCCTCTTTGATAGGCATTATGTTCTTTGTCGTACTCAAATAATCCTATCTAATCCAAAGCGAACGTTTAGTGCCATACAAGACAGTTTCCTGTGCAAAATTCCCCATGAACACATCTTTGTCTACAGGCAAATAGCTACTCTGCGCTTGGCATATTTAATTAAACAAACATACGAAAGACATTTGAACTGCATCCCAGAGTTGTAAAAGTTGTGTTTGTGGGCAAAGCCGCGCCTAAAATATTTTCCCTCGGAGGCAAAGATGTAAATGCGTGCCGCTAAATGCAACATATCCCGGGTTGTGTGTGGGGGGAGGGGGGAGGAAAAGTAAGAATATACCGTATTTATTCCCTTATCCACCCCTTTTCCTATTAATTTTAATGCTTGGAAAGAAGGCGGAGAAAATTACGCGCTATTTCTAAACAAATGATTTAAATCATAAACATAGAACAATAAAAATACATACTAATATTATTACACTGTATATTTCAAAGGACTCACTAATTTTAACACTATTGTTTTACTTACGCCAAATAATTTCCTATTTATGCATGCATTTTACATTGTTATTATAAATCAGAAGTTTCTAAATCATATGCTAAAAAAGCTAGGGGAAGGGAGAGAATTATGCGAGCTGATAAGATACGATAATACATTTCATGTAGAAGACGGTAAAGAACTTAAATAAGATAGAATTTATAAGGAAAAATGGGTACTTTCTCGTTATCTGCATCCCCGGCTTTAATTTTAGGCAGAACTACCATGCTTGTGATATATTTTTGGGTTTACACATAAGAATAGCCGAACCACACAAGTACATATAATGCACTTGAGTTTATACATATGGATTTATGCACATTCAAAATATATATAACACTAAAATAACCTAATTTAAACGTGCATTATAAGTTTACGTATGAACATTAAACTGCTTATCATTAAACTGCATCATTTTATATTAGAAACAAGATATAATGCGTGTATCTATCTATCTATCTATCTATATATATATATATTATTTCTTGTATTTGTTGCAATACGTTGTATATATATAAAGACAAAAAGTAAGAAATTTAAAACTAACATTTCACAAAAACCAGAAATTGAAAGTCATAATTAATAAATTTCAAATAAACATATAAATGCAACAATGAATTTAAAAATGTTAAAACCAAAAAATTTCAATCAAATTAAAAACCTTCTTCAAACATCATGAAATTTAAAGAAAAACGATCGAAAACAGAAGAGGAATTCAATCAATCTCAATGTCACTTCATCGGGGGGGGGAGGAACTTTGACACTAATTGAAATCTCCCTTCTACAAAAATCCTTGCTGTTCAGTATCCAAAATTAGCCGATGGACCATTTCAATGTATTTAAATTATAATTATAATACTTCACCCTTCAGATTAGGTACTATATCTAAAATTTTGATAGTAATATTATTAAAGTTGTGAATTTTAAAATGTTCTAGTTCTTTGGTAGTGAAATTATTACCGTTTTTGCTGTCTGAAAAAAGTAGTTAATTCTAATATCAAGATTATTCTTAGTTTGCCCTATTAAGACAAGATGTCATGTATTACATGTTATAGAGTAAATGCAAATAACTGTTTTTCATAGTATCTGTTGTTTAGTTGCGGTATGGTTGAGAGAAGTATTATTATGTCTACATGTTAATCAGTTGTAACTCTGACATACCTCAATTTCAATATTCTTTTTACGAGCAGCATTTAGAATTCATTAGGATGCTAATCCGATTCTTTGTGAAAAAGCTAAGATCTTAGCTCAGAAGCTTGTTTGTTCATCCCTTGAAGTAAGTAATGTCTGGCTAAGAAATTTCAAGTGCAAGCGTAGTGCCCGTCTAAAGCTTATTTTGCCCGAGATGTTCAGCAATGTGCAGTACGCTATATATCATGTACGCAAAAATGTTGCCTTTTCATTTTAATTAATTAAAATCTTTTTCTTTAGAAATATTTTCCCCCATTTTCAACATACAGTACATACAGTAATTAATTAAAGTGTTCGTAGACCCTTTATTCGGGAAACATCCAATTATCCGAATTTTTGATTATCCGAATAGGGTCCCGCCCCAATTGATTCGGATAACTGGAGTTGTACTATGCTTTTAGTTATAATTTTTTTCAACTGCCATCGTACATCAAATGAATTTTCCAAAGAGACATGGTGGTTCCAAATAGTGTTGTTCTTCCGTAGAAACGGTCATTTTGAAAACAGTAACTATCCGTGATGGTAAATACAAATATATTCTTATATTCTCAGCAATGCTAATCACTTTTAGAGGTCAATAAATGCATCTATCGAAATGCACTCTCTGCTATTGCATTTGTTTCCAGTACAGTCGAACACAGTTATTAATGTGGCAGGCTGTGTTAGTGATAGTTTCGAGTTAGAAAAAATATCGGTCTATTTCGCTTAATTTCAATTTGACATTTGGATAATTTTGTGTGTGTGTGTGTGTGATTATGGCAAAGCCTCGAGGGCTATCTGCCTAAGAGGAGGGATGCCTTCGTGGAGGACTCCTAAGGGAAACTGGCTCGTATACACGTTACACATGGGGAAAACCACGAAAACGCCCATGCAGCCAGCCCGTTCGCGGGACTCGAACCTCGGACTGAACTACCAGTGTTCAGCGACTTTACCGCTCGGCCGCTGGTGGGCTGGATAATTTTGAAATTTAAAATTGTTATATACATATCTTTCTTAATACAATATTTTATTGTAATAACTTGTAATCAGTTAATAACGTTTATTGCTAAATACTTTCATGCTAAAAAAATTAAATTTCCTTCCACATTTTATCCTTTTACAGTATTTCCCATAAGAGATCGAGTTAAAACTGCGAAGATTGAATCATTTTGTCCATCTTTCCCAATATGATAGGCCATTTGAAAGGAACTCTAATATTCGCTCTCAAACCTTTTTCAAACGTTCTCAAACCTTAAAAACCTTTTCTTTCCTTTACTGAGACACACCAGCGCCCGACCGATAAAGTCGCTGAACACTGGTAGTTTGATCACAGGCTCGAATCCCGCGAACAGACTGGCTGAATGGGCGTTTTTGTGATTTTCCCTATGTGTAACGTGTACACGAGCCAGTCTTCTACGGAGGCATCCCTCTTCTTAGACAAAATGCCCTCGATACTTTGCCGTAATCACGTAAGCCAAAACAAACTTTTCTTTACTACTAATCCTAGATATGTAGTTCTAGTTATAAAGTTTCTGAAAATAGTCTCAAGCTGACGTTAGAAACGTAAAAACATAAATGTAACATTTTATTTCCGATGCAATCTTCATACAGTAGTACGTAAAATGTTCACTAACGTATTGTGATTAATTCTCCTTACTAAAATGTGCTGTGAGTATTTGACCACCGAAAATATTTTTGATAAGGTAAAAATATCTCCTTTAACTGCAGTAAATGAAATTAATAAAATTCATATAAATTATTTGCAAAATTCGAGTACATTTAAAGAATCTGAGACACTATTTTGGATTAAAATATGAAGCGAGACATTGCAGTGAAACTCACGATGACCCCGCATAATCCAGTATGTCTGATTACTTTAGTTTAAAACGACAAAAGGATAATTTTACCAAAAACTTTGCATCAGGACAGCAATTCAGTCATTCCCTTTCGAAAATATTTGACAGAAAATTTCTACTATTACATTTAAAATCCAAAATAGAATTAATAATTAAATAGAAAGAAGAAACAGTCTTTTAATTCTAACTATTATTTAAGCAAGGTTTCAAAAACGAGGCTTTATTTCTTAAAGGCAGAGTAAATAAGTAATTAACATAATAAATGTGTTCACCTTAAAGAGACACCGTTTCAATTTAAAAGAATATGGTGCAATAAAAACGCTGATGCATAGAACAGTGCATATAAGAATGTAAATTCTTGAACTGATATCAAAGAATGATTAAGTATTTTTCTGGATATTCATTTTCCCGTTCATTTATATTAGGTAATATAACATTAAAATGGTTTAAAAGAAATTGCTTTTATTGAAACAAACATAACTCTGAATGAATATCTCATATTTTATACTGTAGAAAAGTTAAAATTAATTTTTATCTTAAACGCAAATATTTATAGAGGTTGCATACCATTAATTTTATTACAGTAGCTAGGAAATAAACCTGTTATTTCTTTTTAAAGGTACCTGTATGAAGACACGATATATTTCGAAAATGATTCTGAAGTTTTTTTGACATTGATATGTGCAGAAGAATTCGATGTAGAGCCATTAAAACAAATCTGTCTGCGTCGATTGTCTGAGCTGAAACATTCACCCGACAACATCTGGATTGCTTTAGCCTTAAGTAAATATTTCAGACTTGAGACCCTAGAAGATCACTGTGTATCATTCATTATTGAAAATGCAAAAGATGCCTTAAACAGTGAAATTTTCTTGAAAGCGTCTGCGAGCGTGCTTCAATTCGTTCTAAAGCTACCACTTCTGAGGATAACAGAATTCGAACTTTTGTATTTTGTTGTAAAATGGGCAGAGAACCAAAAAAGAGAAACATCGGTTCCATTCAAAGACCTATTACGGCCTTTGCTGTGTTCGATTCATTTTCCGTCAGTCGGTCTTGAAGAGTTTCGCATATTTGTTGGTGAAAAGCAGAATGTGTTCAATGTCAGTGACAGACTCGCTATAATACACAGCTTAGAAAATACAGATCCTCGTGCCCTTCCAGAATGGTGTTGCAAGAGCAGTCCCAGGTGCAACTTAACAGAGGAAGTTTCCGTGAATCTTGTTGATACCTCTTCACGAAGACCTGCATACACGTCCGTCGTGAAGTGGTTCGAGTGTGAATATGAAATACGAGCAGCTCTTAAGAATACATTGTACCACGATATACAGACTATGACTGTGGTCTGGGGCAATAAACTTGAAGATCTGCCTTTGATTTGTAATGTCAAAATTACGTGGTACCAAGGTCTGTCTTTTGAATTAAGTTCAGTTAAAAAAATTGACGAAAAGGAAGCAATTATTCTGAATTTCGATAAAAGAGTTTTCGGTTCAGCATCACGTCACCAATTTATGATTCGAGTCGATTTTAAACACCCAGTTAGAGTGTTTTTTCTCCATGATTCCAAAGGAAAACAAGGTTCTATGGAATGTGCATTTCTTAGAGCTCGAGCAATGACTTCTGGAAATAAAAAAATTATACTTAATAAAGGACAATGTGTAAATAACATGACATTTATACGAAGGATACAATACAAATCAACAACTCCAGTTGTATAGATTATGTTTATCTCATACATTTGGTTTTCAAATCCAAGTTCAGAATTTTCTTTTATTGTTGCAAAAACTAGATATGAAATACAATGTTGCCAATGAATGCATTTTCCTTTAAAATTATGAAATTGGTAAATAACTTGCATCTATCCAATGAATAAAACCAACATTTAAATGATGAGGTTAATAATAACATTTATATTTAACTGTTATCATGAAAATAAATGTTAATATTAAGAGAAGTAAATTAGTGTAATGAAAAATAAAAGTGTTGTTGTTATTTATAAAAATTGCCATACATAAAAAATCAAGGGCAAATAATTATAATTGATTAAAAAATTTGATAAGAAAGATAACAACATTTATTTTATGAAACTTATGATAACAGTTAAAATATATATAAACCTTAGTTTTATGTTGGAAATTTTTCGTGGTCTACTAAGGATACCGCCACTTAAATAATGGGGACACATCCCAATACACAGTACCTCATGGGTGATGGGGAAATCTGTGTATGACAGATTCACTAACTGGCAATATATTTCCCGACTTTAAATTAAAAAAATTTACATTAATTATCAATTGAAAATTAGACATCTCGTCCACATAAGAAGTCTAGGTTCATATTCAAATAGATAGTGTATCCAGCAAAGCGGGCGGGTTCAGCTAGTAATGTATCTGATACATATTAGAATGTATTTTTTTCATATTGCCGCTTTTAGTACAAATTTTAATTTAATGAAAAATTAAAAATATATTTCTTTTTTGTCTGCTCACATGACAGCTAAACACAATAAATCTTTTTTAATAAATTTCTTAAAATTAATATTTTTATTTATTGATTTGTTTAAATTTATTAGTCATTGATTCTAAAATTTGTTATTCGTAAATCATCATAAAGTTGAAATCTTTCATAATCCAAATGCTATCTAAACCAATGGTCTCAAACTCAAACTGCGTACGAGCCAAATGCACGATTTAAAAATAGCTGACGCTACAGAATTCTTTTGATAACATAATGCGAGTGAATATGTATTGCACCGTATTTACTTTACCACAGTGCTAAGCGTGACGCATGTGAGTGGTGCGTTGCGTGTAAATTTATAATTTGCTTGAAATTTTACTTTTACAGTTTTATTTTCCACGAACATAATTTAATTGAAATTTATTTCAGTTATGTTCAGTTGTACTTTCTACACAATTTTTCTCTACATTATTTTTTTCAAACTTTTACTCTCTTTCTCTCCGTGGCTAAAATTATAAGAATCCTTTTTTCGGCTAACTTTTTTTTCTGTTTTCTTTATATACCCAACAACATATTAAATATTAAACAATAATATTAATGGAAAGGAAAATATTCGAATTTATACTTATTCTCCAGAAAAACTAAATTCCTTATAACAAATAAAATATGCAATTTCATTGGACATAACACCGAAAGTACACGATTTCTCGTTTTTCTAGAAAATCATGTTATTTTTTACCTATTTTTTCCCACTTTTCGTTAAAGACATGGCTTGCAGATTTGCCTTATAATTAAAATCACTGTTATAATTTTATTTGCACTTTTAATTCGGCAAAATGAATTAACATGTAAAAGCAGCACTTAAAAGTTATGCATAATTCTAAATGTGTTGATAAAATGTAGGTCTAGGAACAAGTACAAATACATAGGTTTTATAAGCTAGTTTAGTTTGTCTGTATCTGTATAACAATATGAACTACACAGCTGTCTATTTTCCTAAACAACTAGTGACTGCATATCAAGGAAAGTATGCATCAAAAGTACTCATACAACAGGGAAAAAAAAAAAAACAACCGTAAACGACCGAGAAGATTACTGTAGGCTCCTCCGGCTGTGGTTGGCTAACAAAATTTGCAGGTTGTACCAACATGAGAAGTTTTAACCAAAATTACATAGTCTACAATAACATAAGCAAAACCCCAATCCAGTTATTTTCTGTTCCTTCATTAGCGTTCATTCCTTCTCGTTCTCAGCTGATAACTCTATGTCTGTTAAACTAAAACAGCCGTTTTCACAACAAATGCATAATTGAAATGTGTTCGCGGAATACGTAAAATTGCCTCGGACCGCCGGTTTCAGACCACTGGTCTAAGCCATATTTGATATCACACCAAAAAAATGGGTGCTTAGATTTTCATATATATATATATAATTACGTAGATAATTTAAGAGTTTTTACTTCGTAAAGATAAAATGATGATGATTTACATCAATGAAGCAAAAGGAACTTTAAATCGGAACTGTGGTACGTCAAATCGTAATTTAGTCTTCAAATTCTGTATGTTAGCAGTATTTCTATATCTATGATGGACTCAAAGCTAGATTAAGTTAGATATTTATGTATACAATATATACAGTTAATCAGCTAAAAAATATAAAAAATAATAAAAAATATAAAAATAATACAAATAAAAAAATATAAAAATAATAAAAAATATAAAAATAAAAAAATAAAAAATATAAACATATAAAAATCTACAAATCAAAGGGCATGGTGTAATACGCCATACCCGTTAACATCTATCATCTAACTACTCCTTTCGCATTCCTGCGGTTCAAAAAACTCCCATTACATTTAAAATAGCAACAAAATAGTCATTATTTTTGTGACATAGTTATTGTTAATACGTTTTCAAGTAAAGTACCATATCGTGCTCATTTTTTTAAAGCACACAATGTTTGATGCCAAAGGTCCAGTAACTCTGAAAAAAATTCCACGGCTTACTGTCCTGTGGAAGGCTACCAGTTTTAATAACTGTTTTCAAGCCACCCAGACGGTATAGTGGTTAGAGGAGGTAAACCGCTGAGTTGGCTTTCGACCCAGGTATAGATATATCCAAGCAGAATTGGTTACCAACTCGGCGGGAGTCAACCACTAGCTACCAGGACGCTGCCCTGAGCAGCCTCGGCTGAGCAGACGGCATTTATAAAATGCAGAAAAGGGATATACATGTGCATACAAGGCACTTGAAGACGAGTACAATCAAAATATATGTATATACATTCTTATGAATCCAACTTATATACAGATATATGCAATCATGATAGTTAAAAGTTTACAAGAAGCATGCCATTGAGGTACGCGTGATCCTTAGTATAAATTAGGTGCCACAAATAAAAGATATAAACATGTACAGATACATTACAGCATTCAGATACAGTACGAATTTTATGTATGAGAACCTGGCACAGCATAAATACAAAATTATATATTGAGCTTACATATCACATACTCTGTTGGTGACATATTGAACTAGCTTATATAGACTACTATCTTCCAGCGTCAGAAGAGTAATTGCTAGTACAGTACTCAATTATTGTTTTCAGTTTCCGCTGGTCAACTCTGTTACTTTGTACATTCTGGAACCAATATGGCCAGAATCTGGCTCCTGGTTGCTTGAGGCTGTTAAGTGCTGTGTGTGGGCAGGAGAACACAGAATGGTCTGGATGACTCTCCTCCCCACATTCACAGTTACCATACTCTCTCAAGCCAAAACGGCAGAGGTATGAAGGGAAGGGCTCATGACCAGTGATGAATACGTCATGTAATTGCTATTAGTTTGGATTGTTGTCTTGACCTTGGGAATGAGATTGTAAGCATGTCTTCCTGTGGAGGCTTGATCCCAACGTTCTTGCCATATTCTTAGGAGCTGGTGGAATGTCCGACTCTTTAGGTCCGAGATTGGCCTAAGGGTCGGGACTTCTCGCAAAGTGGATGAATCCGCTGCTTCCTTTGCGACAACATCTGCTCTCTCATTTTCTTCTATTCCCGTACGAGCGGGCACCCAGATGAGTGAGGGTCTTTGTGAAGCAGGCATGTGGGTTAGAATGTCTTTAATGCTGCTGACGATAGCACTGCGAGAACGAATTCCAGCTATCGCAGCAAGGCTTGAGGCTGAGTCTGTGTAGATGATATTGGGCACTGTGGGATTATTCTTCAGGTGGAGAAGAGCTGGCCGACTGCGATACCGAAGGCACCGGGCTCGAATCCCGGTAAAGGTTATGGATGTAAATTGTCTGTCCCCTCATAGGAGAGAACGGTGGTTGCATATTAGGTGCCTCCACCTCTGGCCTTAGGAGTGGCCAGTGCCGTTGAAAAAAAAAAGTGTTTAAAAAAAATAGCGATATGCGGTTCAATATTTTCAAGATATACTTACTGAATATATTTATTATTGCACGCACATTTTTATTTGATGCCTTTTTGTGACCTCGAACGTCAGTGATAAAAACTCGATTGTCAGCAATAAGTTTAACTGCATCTCTAAATGATCGAAGAATTCTTATGAATCCTGCTCTATTAGAACCTCTTCGAACTTGAATTACAGCCTAGAAATCTACGTTCAAGAATGGTGTAAAAAGCAACTCTAATTAGAATTATGAGGATAGAAATTAAAGAACTGATTAAAGTAATTACAGTTTATTCAGATTTTAAATCTAATACAATATTCTGGCAATAAAATAAAAATATTTTCTTGTCCTTTCGTAGCTTGAAGATAATGACATTAAGAATATTTTTAAAAATATATATACATACTATATATGTAATAAAATATTTAAATTAAAAGAATACAGCCTGCAGTTTTACCTGGTGAACGCAAAGGTATTTATTAACCTATTTTTGTTGTGAGTTAAGGATTAGAGAAAAATTTTTCAAAATAATTATTTCAAACCACTAAGAAGAAAACTGACAATTTATTGCAATTAAAAAGAATACACAGCAAAAAATAACAACTGTAAATAATTCAAATAGGTCGTAAATATAATGCAAATCAGAAGAGAAGATAGAATATCAGAAATATTACTCATAAAATAAACTCTAAAACGCAATTCAAGTCGCTAATTCTTTAAACCAGCGGTCGCCAACTGGTGGTCCGTGAAAACTTTTTTGTGGTCCGCAGAAAATTTGGAACATTATTTATGTTTTATCAAGATTCAGTTTAAAAAATGACGAGTAACAAAAACCTATTATGGAATATGGATTATACGTTTCTTTAAATTTTAGCTACTACTTATAGCGAAATTTCTTCTGAAATTTAGCGACTTTTAGCTACTTTTCCAGGTGTATCTAGCGACATTTGAAAGTGAGAGTTGGCATCCATAAATATGCTACTGTATCTATAATAGCGCGAACTGGAATTCTCCTTCCTTTTGAA